CATAATTTGCTCAAAGTGGTTTATTCCAACTTCATGTGGGTGGGGTGCAAGGTTCAAGTTCAGCTCCACCCTTAACCTCTATTGACCAACCAGCTGGTCTTTTCATCTTCCAATGCCAAGCATTTCCACAAGTGGGTGCTCACATTACTGCGTTTTGAGGCTTGATATGTTAATTCTCAAGCATACCCACATTCATTCATTCTCTACTGGGGTGGAATACCAAGCTGAGGTTGCTGAGGAGACGTCCCTGTCATCACACCCAAGAGTTGATTAAATGTCATTAGTGCAGATTATGTCTATTAATAAAAGTCGTTCCTACCAAAAGGAAAGCAAAGAGGAAATGACTCTAAACTTCTAAATAATATTCTGGGCTGTTCTCCTGTTTGCACAGCAAGCTTGTTATCCACTGACCCATCAGCCCAGCCCTGGTTGGTACACTGTTTAAGCATGCTCTGTAGCTGACTATAGCATGCAACATTCTGGAATGTTGGAAAGTTTCCTCTATTCGGTTCAGTATTGTGATCACTAGGTCCATACATCTGTTGAGTACTTAAAATGTGATGGATAATATCACTGATATGCAGATTTTTGCTTTAATTTATATTTAAACAGCTATATAACACTTTTTGAAATAAAGTTTCCCTTTAGCCCCATCTGCTCTGGAACATGTTATGTTGACCAGGCTGACCTCAGTCTCACAGAGATCCACCTGTCTCTGAAGCTATGCTATTTAATGTCTTTGGTATTTTTTACACTCTAGTGTTCCTTATTGTTAGATTTTTGGAGAATTAAAGGAAAGATAGAGGAGTAGGAGACAAGAGACCAGAGCCAGACCTGCAACAGGCAAGGAATAGATCTTCCTTTATTCAAAGAAGATACAGTGAGAGGTAGAGGCTGTCCGCGGGAACCAAGCATCTACAACTAGACAAAGAAACCAGGGGGTTTTATACCAGGGTTGTGGGACACGACTGCACTTAGTGGGGAGTCGAGTTAGTGCCCGGGCTTAAAGGTCTCCTTGTCAAGATTGTTTCCCCAGGAACTGGCAGGAATGTTATCTCTGGCCTTAGAGGAGACTGGTGGGCTCCACAAACATTTCCTCTTGGGCTTGGGAGTGACCAGCTGATAAGGGATGAGCAGAGCCAGGTCTTTAGTCTACAGCTGTTAGGTCACTGGAGAAACTTTGTACATTTACAATTCAGAGCCTTTCGGCCGCTCTGATGGTTTTTATGCCTTTATGTCTTCCTCTGAGGAAGCTCAGGGTTGTTCTGAGGTTTGCATATTCTATCACTTATCATGGCTTGCTCTTTTCCCCTAAAGATTCTATATTCCTAAGGACACCTAAATACCTTAAAGCATTTTCTGATAGAGACTACCTTCTTTCCCTCCCCCCCTTCCTCTCTCCATCTTCTGCTTGCTTTCTCTCTCCTCCTCTCTCCCATCTTGTCTCCTCTTTCCCTCTAAATGCTTACAGCACCTGTAAATGGTCCACACAGCCCCTTCTTTTTCAGTCAGCATACATTTGCTAACACCCACAAATTGCTGCAGTAGGTTCTGCAAGGACTTTACAAACTATGACTGACGTGCTTTTGAGTTTAAGGCTTAGTGTCCTACTGTTAATGTTTACCAGATCTAGAGCCTCAGAATTTTCACCCTTGATGACTATTTGAAATCATAGCTGAATTAAGTTTTGTTTGATGATTTATCCCTTAACAATACTAAATTTGAAAAGACTGATTTCTTAGTCTATAATAAGCGAAAGGATTTAAGTCTGTCCAAAGCAAATTCTCTTAAATAGAACGTGCAAGCTCTTCTGCTGTTAAATATGAATCTCCTTGGCATCTGTGCTTAGCACACTATTAAAATGACTTCACACTAGTGAGGTGCTGAGTTGCTGAGTGACAGTTTGACAGCTCAAAATACTGATAGGGTATAGCCATCCTTTATACAACTAGGTTTAAAGCTCTCTTTTGCATATTTACAAGCTGGGAACATGGTGAAACTTCCAGGAGCGTTCTAAAACTTAATTGCAATTGGGGAGCTTGAGCCTTCTCTCCCTGGTATTTAATTAAACACTTCTTTTGGACTTTGTATTTCTAATTTACTGCCCAGTCTGAACTTAGGTAAGCATAGCAACAAAATCTAAAATGTGGAGGAAAATCAGAAAGACTGGTTTGATCAGGTAGTTGCAATTACATATACATACACAAAAAGGGACTAATTGGGACACAGAATGCTTAATACTATGAACTGAAGGTTTTTAAAAGCATACTTAAAACATATTTTTTTCTTACCAGCTAAGGAGCTTCATGTATGAATGTTCAGTTTTCCTTTAAGATGTTTGCACAGCTGTAGTGATCTCTGTATGATACCAGATATGATAAAAATTGTCATGTATCTGAATTTCATATTGTGGAAACTATTTGAAATATTCTGTAGAATGAATTATTCAAAAACTGAAGAGATTAATCTTTGCCTTACATGAGGCCTAAGGTGCTAAGTAATTGCTTGTAAATACCGGTAGAACAGAGAAGTGCTGAATTCTATGTTGGGGTTACTAAGGCGAGGACTGCAAGGAATCCTCCTATCTCCTTCACTGTAGTTATGTCACCACATCTCTAGGTTACATCATCCTTAACGATGAATAAAGAGTGAAATTATTAAAAACTGCTAGCCTCCCAAAGACTATTAAATA